ATGTATATACACGTATATATGTATATATATATACACGTATAATTTCCGCACAACACCTAGCGAACACGGCTCTCATGACCGAATATATATTTATTAGTTTGATTATCTCTTTTGTTTAGATAATTTCTCTGTCGCTTTTGCAAACGAAACTTCGCGCTTTTGAAGTTAGTTTCGAAAAATTTTATTTAAAAAACTGAAGCGATTCAAAGAGAGGAAAAAAAAAACAAATTACACAATGTGCGCACACGTATGTCTACGTGATGCGTACATTGCAAAATCCGGGAATCCAATTTTCATCCAGAATCCGGAGGATGCTCGCGCTTGTATCCGTTTCTCTGTCATTAACAAGACCTCGGACGCGACAACGCAACGTTCGCGTGGTTCGAAATTATTTTGCAGAATGACCGAATGAGACGCTCTAGAGCGAGCGCCGCCACCCGTCTTTAAGCGCGGTTAATAAATGCGACTAGAGAGAAATGAGAAGCGACTTATTGCCCCCCCCCGTTAAGACGTGAGTAAGGATTCGAATTCGAGAAACGACAAGGGTAAAAATGAGAAGAAAAAAAAAAGAGCGACTTTAAAGACTAATCATTTTTTAGACTGTCAATGTTGTACCACGCGCGCAGCGACGTTTTTTTTTTTCCCCCCCGACCTCTTTTTCCGCCTCTCACTTTCCCGTTCTGACTCCGAAATTACTAGAATCGACGATTTTTCTTCGTCGAATTTATTTCCATCAGCAACAGAGAGTATAGAAAGTCAGAAAGAGATAAAAAAAAAAGCTGTTTTTTTATATCAATCAGATTTTTTCGATGACACACGTGACGCTATGTTCTGAAATCGCGGAGACATTGTTATACGGTAAAAAAAATATATATTAAACACGTATGTTTTTGAATGGATGTTTTCGAATTCACGATCACAAAACGCTTTTGCGACAGAGTAGAACGTTCCTCTTGATTGAAATCAACAATTATTGAAAAATCGTGGAGGTGTGACAAGCGTTTCGCGGCGACAAAAAAAAATCGATTTAATTAAAAGACTGCCAGTATGTCACGTACAACCGATAATTAACGAGTAATAACTCGGTGTCTCCCACATGACAAACGGTCGTTCGTGCCGTAACATTCTTAGAAACGTTATTCCGAGCTACGAAAAGAAAGAATATGCAAAATCTATTTTTTTCTATTAAAATTTCACATTTAGAACATTTTCTTTTTGTACACTACTGCAAATGTGGCTGCAAAATAATATTTTTGTTAAAGTTAGTTTTTATATATCAGATATGTGCGCATGTGTGTATATTCCACTATCGAACAATGAACGATTCATTACGTAATTAGTGTAGCCACACGATTAATTAGCTAATTAGGTATATCGGCGTAAAATTTGGATTCGACTCACCTACGTGTAAGCGATAGAAATTTCTCGCTTTGAGATGGTTGCTTATTTTGTAAATAAGTAATATTTTATATAACGAAATAAGCATCAAAACTGATCATTACTCGATTCAATGAATTCAAACATTCAATTTTTAGTTTTATCGCGCGTATAACACGCACATTTTAATTCTTTTATGTAATACTTAATAATCCCCCGGTTTTAATAGCCGCAATATTTTAATTACTGAATCGAACGCAATGTGCAATACACGCTTGATAAAATGAGAAGAAGGTTAGATTAATTAAAAATTAATTTCACTAAAAGCGATACAGATTTCAAGGTGAAATTAAATGATTATCCGGAGTTTGGTTAGCAAATTTATAGCAAAACAATTTTGCTTTTTTTTTTTTTAGTGTTTCTTTCCGACTTCATAATTTTCGTAAAATGAACATCATGTACGTTTATTTTACGACAGTTGATTCAGCGATAAAGGACAAAGAGATTTTCTTTGAAGAGGTAGTTTATATCCAGCCGCAGAGTTTTATCACGTTAGTAAAACTTTTTTATATAAACTCTATTTTTCTATAATAGAAAATATCTAACAATATAAAATATATATGCAAGGTTCGCACATTCGTAGATTTATATTATTGTCTTGTTCAATGATGTATGCGCGTGTGCTTTTGCTCCGACATGTGTTTACAACACAGAAAAAACTATTACTTGTTGTGGATATAATGAGAGAAAAAAAATTCATATAACTTGTAATAATTTTCTATATTCTCGTCTATTTTTTCTTCTTTGCGCGATTTATTTATATATGTACCAGGTAAGACTCCATTAAACGTCGCAATTTAGAGGTCAGGGATGTCATTTAGCACACACACACACACACAGGTACATATGCTTATTTTTCTCCGGAAAAAAAAACCATAAACTGTCTCGACCGCCCGAGACAAAAGACAAAAAAATCTTATGAATAGATCGACGTGACAAATTCGGCATATTGCAGAGAAAAGCTCGTCGCGGTTAAAAAAAAAACCTGTTTAATCCAGACTAAAAGTAACTCGACGAAAAAAGATACCGCAAATGGTTGAGTAATTTTTCCAATTTCGAAAATAATTTTCGAGATCTTTTTCAACCGTTCCGTTTGTAGAATTACAATAATATAACGAGTAAGATTGAAAAAAATAGAAGATACAAGGCTACAAGACAAAAGTACAAGACAAGAGTAAAGTGAATAAACAATAAAAAGGAAAAATACTTTTTTATAAATTCTGTTAACTTAAAATATATTTTTAAAATCAATAGTTAAGTGATTAACTTTGAGTTGACTTCAATTAAGATTTTTGTGTTAAATTTAAGTTTTAAATATAGTATATCGAACATATTAATTAATTTGAGCTTAAATTAATTTAATGAACGTAATTAGCTCGATATGGTTCTTACTTTGCTTTGAATTCGCAAGAAACGGTTTTTTTTTTTTTTTTAAGAATAATAACAAATCTATTCAAAATTGAAAAATTATTTTTTGCAACAATATATGCAAAAAGAAAATGAGACTTTTATATAATTTTCTTTCGTGTCTGATCCCCGAAATGTACGTGATAAGTTTATTGAATTATTAAGCAATTCTCAAAAGAATCGAAATACGTGTTTCTTCTTCTATAAAAAGAAACACGTATTTCCTAATGCTAGGAAGGAGATCATGGATTTTATTGAGTCGCGCAGCTTCCCTGAAAAACACTCTTGACACATTCAACGCGACATTCAATATTAAACTTTCTCTATGAATATTTAAAAAAAAAAACAGGAAATTTGCTATTTGTCGAGGTCAGTCGTCATTTGCCCGTCGGCGTCAAAAAAGAATTGTCTCTCTTAATCACATATTCTCGCCTCCGCAGACGACACATTGGTGAAAGGTTAAAGCCAGAGGTCATTACACTCCCCCTCCGACGGTTGTATATATATATAGCGCCGCGAATAAATGCGATATTCACACGTGACAAAATAAAACTCGGTATCGGACGCCGCATTTAGCGGTAAATACGTTACGTTAGAATCGGATTAACCACCGCGCCCGCGGCTTAGTCTAAATTCTCTCTGCGGCTCCGCGGATATATCGACGCGACGGCGCGCACACATCTCTCGCGACACGCGTATGTGGATATGTTTCGTTTCAAAATGTATCCTCTCTCCGTTTCTCTCATTTCACCCCTTTTTCTCACCACCCCGTTTCGCGTGCGAAGTAGTTGAGTTTCTTCGCGCGTTTTCAAGTAACCATGCAGAACAACTACCCGGTGACGCGATCTCGCGTCGTGAAAGTCAACGGGGGTGTTCTACTCGCAACGCCGGACTTAATGGCGACTCGGAAACGACCGTAGCTCGGCAGTAAACTATCCTAAAGGTTTCCCTGGTAGCACTTAACCACCCACTGATCCGCATTTCTTTTTCCTTTTGTTTGCTGTAAGCCGGCGATGACCGCGGCAAGTATATACAAGTGCGAACGTATTCGCGACATTTAAACACACTCGCGTACTTGTCCTCAATTCTTCCTGAGGAAACAGATTACAAAAGCTCGCGTCAAAAATCTTCCCTAAATTCGATTTCTTACGAGGTTCGGTGATTATAACACAATCAGAGAACAAACGAAAAACAGTACGAAAAATATATTCGCACGTTTAACGTTCATACAGAGAATATTGTTTATACTTTAAACATTTTTTCTTGCAATTTTAGTTGAACTTTAACTTAAACTTTGAATCTTCGTCAGTATTTACAGCGACGTGAGATATTTCCAAGAATGAAGAACACGAAGGAAACTATATGCGTACGTAATAACGATGATTGCCACAAAGAGGTGATTATTATATTAGAAAGTATTCACGCGCGAGCGTGTCCAAAAAACTTATGTATGTGCGTCATAGTATAAGTCTTTTTTTATCGCTTTAATCGCCGTCGTAGTTCAATATAGAATAGTTCAACGCCCACGAATTCATCGTCTGATTGACGTCCCTTCTGCATTCTGTCGATACCTTTTATTGGAAAGGAGGTACGGGAGAGAGGCAGATCGGATTATGAAATAGCACTCCGACCATCAATCGCTACTCCGCTTTCTCTTCACGGTCGCTTTTAATTGCATTAACATAAAATAAAGAAAAAACTGCTAATAATACTATCTTATATACGCATTGTTTATGACGGATAGACAGATAATAATTCGACGACACGCGCGCGACAAAAGAATAATTAGTATCTCTTTTTGATTCTCTCTTCTGTTTCGAATTGATTGTTTCAAATTCTGTGAAAAAACAGATTCAAGACAAAAAATGACCTCGTTGACAGAAAATCAATATGAAAAAATACGTACGTTTGTACGTTTTTCGAGATGCAGAAAAAAAATAAGAATCCGGTAAACACTGGAAAAGAGAGAAAAAAATGACTTCAAGTTCCTTGAAGTAAAAAGAGCAATTGTATGAGTGTGTATATATAATACGATTTCTTGATATCTCGTCTGAGATAAGAAGACTCTCTGTCGCTTTCTATGTCAACGTACTTGATGATCTTGTATCAACTGAAAATACAAAGATCAGATAATGAAAATATTTGTTTTTTAAGTTCTTTTAAGTCTTTGTTAAAGATAAATTAATGAGAAACATTTGAAATGAGCGCAATCAAAGAAGCACATTACTTATTTTTCGAAAAACTATCTATTCTCTCGGACTGTAAACGTTTCCGCAATTTCTCTAGTGCGTTCGATACTATCGAGTTTTTCGGAATCATTCTCGGCATTTTTTACATCATCATCAACCGTAAATTTATCCGTAATATGCGTTCGCGTCTTTGCGTCTCCGGAATGGTCAACGGGAGATAATTTAGAGAGCATTTCGATCTTTTCCGTCTTATCCGGAGATAATCTGAAGTTGGAAACGTGTAAAAAATGTATTTTTTTGATATAAATACAAAATTATAATATATGTTAGATATCACGTCTAATTTTGTAATAAATTTTTCTCTCACAAACGTTTCTTTAGTATTTCTCTCATCAATATATACCTCGTACTACATTGCGATAATTTTGCAACAATCTTAGCGTCGACATTAATTTTTTTCGGCTTTTGTGCGTGACTCTTCAATTTTTCTACGTTCTGCGTGAGTTGATAAACTTGTACTTTTAACGTTGCATTTTCGTACGTTAATCTATTGTTTTTTTGCACAACCTAATAGTCGACACAAGATTTATATGGCAAAGGTACATGTTTGAAATTAAAGATATTTTGGTCGAGCAGTAGAATGTTTATATTGTACGTATAATATACTTGTAAACGTATAATAAAATACCTGTAAAAATTTAGCTTTGTTGAGAGGTAAAGGTTTCAGAAATTTTTCGGACACGATCAAATTCAATTCTTTTCTCGCCTCGTCCAATTTATCCATCATTTCCGCCATTACCAGCAAATGCTCGTGCAGCAACTGATCCAATTTGTATCTCAGCGTGTCTTTAGCGTGTTTCATACGAAGAAACTTTATACACAAATTATATGTAACTTTATTTTTGTCCGTCAACTCCTCTCTCAGTTGCTTATTTTCTATTTCTAACGTATCATGTGCTCTATCCAATTCTTTGCGCCACTGTTGCTGAAACTTCGACACACCACCAGTATACTTCGTTCTGTATCGTTGCATTTCCTCTGCGAAACGGTCTCTTTCCTTCTTATAGAACAATCTCTCGTCATCTAACTGTTCTACAATAATAATAATTAATATACCGCTTTGGAAGTAACGTTTTGTATGTATTTTTTTTTTTTATCTCTGTTGCTATCGTATGGACATATGTAAATAAAAAAAATGTTGAATAGAAATACTTCGTTTCTATCCTAAAGTGAATTTAATATAAATGATCTTACGTTTAAGATTTCTGTTATATCTTTGCTGCTTCTTTAATTCTGTCAGCAATCTAGTTTTCTCTTGATATACATTTTCAAACTGTGCATTTTTTATTTGTATAGCACTTTCCAAATTTTCAATAACTTTATTTAATTTTGCAATCTTATTTCACACATAAGATTAAATATAGCAATTATTTATGATATGTATAATCACAGTGTAATAGATAAAAACTATTATAATTGATGACGAGAAGAATTCATCAGATATAAATGAAAGTCATTTTAAAATACTAACATACTTGTTGCTGTGACGTTACTGCCTCGTGATCGACCACATCACATTCTGCAACATTTCGGAAGACTTTGCTTTCTGCGATATTTGGAGAATATTCATCCAGGCCTTGCATATTATTTTATTTCTCTGTCTCTATCGGCACAATATATCTCTGCTTTAGATATATCTGATAAGTTTCTTCTTGTTTATATTATTTTTCATTGGTTATAATTACACACATTTTATATATAAATTTTAATATTCGAAGAAGAATTACAATCCGCAAAATTTTCCAGTTGTTTTCTATATGAAAATATGCTCAAAATATACAGAGATAAATAGCGAAAAATCACAATGTTTATTTCTTCTAAAGATCTTAAAGTACTTAAGTAAAGGAACTTGATATGCTTTGCTACACGTTAAAATTCTTTACAAATAATAACCTATAAAAAGTTACTTGCGTCAAATATATAATTAAGAAACCGTTGAACGTTAAAATTGAAAACAAATGAAAACTATAGAAAATAAATTAAATTTTTATAGACGTAATAAATCAAAGATATACCGGGCTTTACACATGGTACCTACAAACTTGAACATGCGTGAGAAAACTTTCTCTTGACTCTTGAATCAAAATTTAAATAAAGTAGTTTCGTATTTCAAACTTGAGAGTATTTTTCTAATTACCGCACATCTCAGGTAGCAAGTTGACATCCTGAAATGTATTGATAAGTTACATTAAACGGAGCAGTTTTATTCCAACTTCAGGATAAATTTAAATGATTGTTCAACTTGAGCAATGCAAATTTTAAAAGTTGTGAAATTTATTGTATCGTATATGTACAAAATGGTGTACAGACTACTTTATCAATCGTATCTACGTGATTTACACACACGTAACGTAACATATGCTCTGCACATATGACACGTAATGACTTTCCCGGGTACACCTGTTATCTCCGTTTCTATATTATCTTTTGTCGAATGGAATGAATGTTGAGATGACAAAATGCTGACTTCTTTTTTTTTTTGTTTGTTTGTTTGTATTCTGATAACTTTACAGACGTACGTAAAAAATTTCTAGAATTAAAATTTCTGAATGACTAATAATTTTCCCCCCATCTTGTACACACGAAAATAATAAATTATGAAGTCGCCTTTCTGTGTTGTTATTCTTTTTTTATCAGAATTGTTATCAAAAACTTTTAAAAATGATTGCATTAGAATTTTACATTTTCGTGTATCTGGAAGTGCGTCAATATGAGCACGATTTAGACAGAAAATATTTTAATTCACAAAGCCTTTCGTGCTTTCCATAAATTTTACAATAACAACAACTGGTCCAAAGGTCATTTAAGCATTCTTTTTGTATAAGTAAATACTAGTATTATCAAGCTAAGTTTAGTCATGTCTTATTAGCATCTAAACTGTAGTAAGATTCTTAAGAAAATATTTATTTAAAAAAAGAACGAATTATTCTTTGCTTTTTAGTCTTTCATTTTAACATTAAATTTTATGCTACTAAAGATTTCTTTGCTCTCGATATATATTTCTCTCTCTCTCTCTCTATATATATTAAAAAATATACATAAAAGCGATTTTATTCTATTTGTATGTAATAGATCATGTAATACATATTCATCAGAACGTGAAATAAATCTTTTTTTCACAAGTAGTTAATGACAATCAATTTTAGAATTACATTATATATAATACCTGTTGGTCCAGTTGTTTCAGAAAGATGGAAGGCAACGTTTGTCGTGTGATAAACAGATGAAAAGATACTAAATTCGCACGAACGTCGACAATTATAGACTTATTTAATACCCTAACTTAAAGTTTTATTTTCATTACGTTAAGGCTTTTGTTTATTTCTTCTTATTTTTGTTTGCCTGTTTGTATTTTGGTTGATTTAATTTGGCGTTTTTCTTTTTGGGCTCCTCCTCTTCGTCTTCCTCGTCATCCTCCTACAAGAAATACACAAAATACGAGATAGAATCACGCAATAAATTATACTTAAAAAAAATTCAAAACCGTATATATATATATTTAAAAATATTTCACAAAGTCTTGAAATAAATATGGGGAGGACACACACATATAACTCATTAATAATTTTGTTCGTTAGTACATTTTTTTAAAGAAAGTCTGCCGAAATCCATTATGTTACACAATTAGTGTTCATACTAAACATACTTCCAAAGTGCACTTATTAGCTTATTTTGAGACTTGATATACCAAAAAATTTTTCCTCTGTCATTTAAGTGATACCGATATGCACTAATACTCAAACTTTTTTTTGCAATTGAACAGTTCTTAAACGCATCATGGAAAGCAGGAAGCGTGATTAGTAAAGAATAAAAGCAATACTTTGCAAAATAAGAATTTATTTTACATAAATAAATCAAACATGGAATGGGAACACAAGTATGAAAATTACATATTCATAGTTTTATATAATTATTTTTCCCTTCCTCCAATAAGACATCTCATAAAGTCATTGTGTTTTCAAATAAAATTGAAAAGTATTCTTAGTGCAATGATAGCATATTTTCAGAGGACATGTTTATAGACAAAAAGTATACAATGTATATTTTTATCTTGACATTCTAATTCTCTACATCTTCATTTTTTTAATGCCGTTTTTTTTGTCCTTTGCTTTAAGCTTTCGCTTCTTTGGCTGATATTTCCGCTCCTGAAATTGATATTTCTCGTATCATTTGAAATACATATCACATATACTATCATTAGCTTCTAACAATATACAAGTTATGAGTATGTATATGTCCCTTTAGATGCGTATTTTGGTTAAAATTCTTTATAAATAATTTATATATAGTTTAGTAATATAATTTATATTATATAAATTTTTTGGCACTCTACAAATGTGTATGTTAAAAAAAAAATCTATTTTGTAAATATTGTCACTATTAATGAATTTCCTGTCCGTGCCTCTCACCCATAATTTTTATGAAATATAATATCTTTTCGCGTTGGCACAAAATACAAAACTATATTCTCAGTTATTTTTTCTTTGCTTTTAAATACGTTTTTCTATTATACATCGTAGGTATTATGAATTAATGTAAGAAATACCTTCTCATCGTCTTCCTCATCAATATTCTCTTCATCCAAATCATCCATGTACTCCATCTCATCAATGTGTTCACCTGAAATAGTAAAATCACCTACAAATGAACAGAAATAAATATTAAACACATAACTGTTACTTAGCAAGTTTTTATATAACAAGACATCAAATTAACTTCTTCTGTACACTGATAGCAAGAAAAAAACTATGTAACAAAGCTTTCATACATTTAAAACCATATTAGTATCACAGTAAATAAATTTTGCTCTGTATAAACTTATGCTTTTAATACGTTTTCAAGATGACGTTTATTTTCATTTATATCGCTCTTTAATATCTTTTTATAGAGTATATTAACGAGTTAAAAATATTTATGTATTTTTACTGTAAAAAAAATATCTTTTCATGCATACATGTATGCAAAGCACTTTCTAATATAAAGTATGCATTTTCAAAGTAAAGTACAATAAGAGATACATATTATACACATTTGTGTTTAGCTGTATACAACAATGTATTTAGTGTGATTATACTAAAAAAATATATATATAACATATGCAATAAGGAAAAAATCTTTAAGTCAAAATTTATCAAACTAAATGTTTTTAAGTGTTTAAATCTATATGTTTACCAAGTCATGAATATGTAGGAATACTTACCCAGAAGATTGTGGCCTACTATATGAACAGGCCCGCTGCCTTTAACCAATGTAAATGTAACGGGAGGATCTGGAAAACTAAGATCAAGAATAATTTGCGAGGTTTTGCCCATTTCAAGCAATGCTATTGGAGTTTTAATTGTTCCTTGCAGTCCCATTGCTTCAACGGAAAGCACATTAAGTTCTCCTGGCTTAGCTTCAGGTCCGAGAAGAGCCTGCAATGATTATAACAAATAGTATAATTGTACAGAAAAAATTTAATATAATATTAAAAATAATATTATAAATTATTTTAAAAAAATCTATTTTAAACAAAATCTTTTTCCAAATATTAACATTTATTCAAACTTATGAAATTGCATAAGCACACATCATAACAAAAAAAAGTTTTATTTATGCGCTTTCTCTCCAATGTATTAAAAAATCTTGAATTTCATAAAAAATAAAATTGTTTATGTAAAGTATAGTGTAATTACAAATATATACACAAATATGTGTCACTAATTTAACATTTTATCAAATGTTAGAGTATATTCTAAAAAATAGTATATTCTATAGTTTTTATAGATTTTATTGCAACAAAATTAAATAAAATTTCAACTATACATGACTTAACCTACATATATATTTCTATAATCTAACCTATCAAAATTTGTTAAGTAGCTGATGAAAATGTTACTGTCATAAAAAAACATTTTTTTATAAATACATGCACATTTTTCTATCATATCTCTGTGTTCAAAAGATTGGAAAATAAAATTGCGAAGTATTCACAACACTAAACACGAACTAATATTAGATTTCTCAAATGTTCAAAAACCTATCAAAATTAATCAAATAGACAATTAAACTATATATTGTACATAATATTGTAGACAAAACATGTATTATTGACTGAGAAAAGAAAAAAAGATATATAGATTTACAACGAGCTCTATTTTGAAGAGTGTTGCTAAAAGCAAATAATAATATCTTCATTTAAAGAAAAATAAAGTAGTGAACACCTGAATTCAGAATAATAATAATAACAATAACAATAACAATAATAATAATAAAACCGTTTCTGACAAAAAGAAAGTTGCGCAATAGTCGTTCAAGTTATTTCACCCAAGTTTTCAAAACGAGCGGAGCGGCGGATTAATCGCGACATCAAGTGATTGAAGTTTCGCGCGCAAACAAGCTCGAAGAGAGGGGAGGACAATCACAGCGTTTCCGAACGCGGAATAATATCGTCTATAAAATTCTTAGCAGTTACACCGTGACGTGTGACCTAAAGCTGAACATGCTGCCGCGACCAGGCATAAAAAAAAAAAACGGCGCATTATCGCGGTGAAACAAAATTAATTCGCGAATGAAACATTTAACTAAAATAGAACCGGTGCATCCCAAACAAATGCAACTCCGATATTCCCTGACGACGACGACGACGACGACGACGACGACGACGAACAGTAAAAAAGATGGCGGCGCCCATGATGCAAGTGCGTTCGCAGCTTTTAGGAAGTTTCGTAGATTGGTTATGGTCGAAATTCGTGCGCCACAATAGTGGCCATCTTAAAACGCTGTTTCGTGATACGCGATAAAAAAAAACAATACAAGCAATTATACAGAACGTTCTTATTAGCTTTGCTATTTATGACGTCACGTTTACAATATACCAAAGGTGGAACACCGGAATGCACCCAATAAAAAAAAAAAAAAAATTTGTAGACGGGGAGAGGGGAGAGAATCAATGGCGGAGATACGGTCACTCGTAAGAAAAAAACTCACTCACCATTTTTATGATTAGTTTTTGATCGGTACCAATGTTCTGAGGTCCGCCATCCGAATCCTCATTCTTATGTTCTGGGTCCCATACCTCGGTGGCGTTCTCTCCCGAGAGAGTAATACCTGAACAAATTCACATTGATTTAACTACAACCGACCGGCCATAGCCGCCGGCCGAAGATTACGCCGGTTGCGACACGGATTGCGATCACGATTAAGATATTCGAGCGTGCACGCCGGTCCAAGGAACAATGGGGGTCGGTTTGCAATGGCCGATCGCTTTAGCCGGCGTCTCGGCCAGTGCACCCCCGTCGCCCTTCAATGGCCGACAACACGCAATTATCCGCGTGCGCCGTTGAACAAAACGGACGAAACAAGTGATCACAGCCGTAGGCGTCGCAGCCGGTCGTAATTTTTATCATACAAACTAAAAATACCGTAGAGATATTCTTCGACCATCTTCAACAACGGATTACAATCAGGTGGATCCTAAGCAGCGTGATGTCTACGACGGACGATGGACTTCTGTGCTGGTTGTGCTGGTACGCCGCGCCGATGAAGACAAGGCAAGAGAGATGCCGCGCGCGCAACGGTTACAGTGTTACTGCGCGAGGGAAGGAAACGGACGCCGCACGTGCCCGTCGCGTAGTAAATGAGTTTCGCGTTGTCGGCCTTGCGCGCCCACAGCACGTTCCGCGCGCCGATTGGTCGATCGCTAAGCGCGGCGTTGCCACGTCGTAGCGAGTAATTTCGCTGCAAGCACCGTTAACAAATTTTCGTCAATTTTCTATTTTATTATCAAAATTCTCGAAAAACTTTGCCAACCATCGTGATATACGTTAAACAACTTTGGTTTCTTGCGTTAAGAAGATACATAAATATAATAGAAAAATCGCAATTTTTTGCCGATTTTATATATCCCATCACAGGGAATAATTGATCTTATGCTGACTGACCTTATTTACGACTACATGTAATTTGCGCGCCGTTGACTCCGTACGCGACAAAATAAGCGAACGATTCCGAAACAACGCTCGTCGTAGTTAGATCTTTTAATTTGAAATTTCAAAAATTAAATTCTACATGTGCACACACGTCCATCGAGCTTGAAACAGAGCTCGAACGTGTGGCAATGCCGCGGCGTCGTTATTGGTCGGAGCCTCTAGTGGCGAATACCGCAACTACACGTCGGCACATTGTCCCACATTGACGCAATAAATAACGAACGCAACACGTGAACAACGTTTGTGTGTCGTATAAAATGTCATGCGGAGAAACGGACTGAGATTATCACGTCGCGTTCTGGCCAAATCCTGACTGATCGCTTTGTTAGTTCGCGAGCTCTCGTCAAATAATCGTCGCGCTTTCGAGAAAAATCCACGTCCCCTCCGGTGTGTAACAACGAGAGCCTAGAGAAAATGCGCACCGAATCGTATATTCTGCTGATTTACCTGTCGCTCGCGATTTTCGGCGGCGCCGAAAAAAACGAGAGCGCGTTTGTGGCAACGAATGAGTGGCAAACAGTGAAGAAGGGTAAGTTAGCCGACCGATTTGTACACGCAACGTGGAACTACTTTACGTCAACCGAATCCATCGACTCTGTGTGATAACACCACGTCAGTCAAATCCGCCGTGCCAATCTTTTTGCGGTAAATCCGTCATAAATGCGTCTTCCGAAACGTTATTCCGAATCAGAACGTCTTACAAAGCATGACGTTTTTCAAGATTACGCGATTTCCAATAGTCAAAGTAACTATCATAGAAAAACCACGATGATCGTGTATCAGAATATCTCCAGTGACGTATGCTCGGATTCGATTACGTGGTGCAGGCAAAAACTTTTCAAATTATGCCAAGTAATAACTCAAAGCTTTAAGTATAACTTGTTTAAAAAAGGAATGTTTTTTTTTTTCTCAGTTTGTATGTATAATTTATAAAATAATATAAAAAGATATAAAAATGTTATATATATATATATGTTTGGACTTAGAATCTAAATTATGTGACAATTTTTTAATTTTTATATGAATAAAATTTAAGTATGTAAAGTTTAAATATGCAGTTGAGAATAAAGATAAAATGGAGCTGTATGTTTTATAATAAAAATCTGAAATCCTGTAGGAACTCCCATCCCTAAAGGACTTCACGTAAGACATAATTTTGCAACCGGAGTGACAGAAGCTAAATTGATGGACGATGAAGAAGTTAAAGAGGACACTGATGAAAGTGCAAATCGATCTAATTCGAACTCGCTGACGTTACATCCTGATAAATCAGTGCTCGAAAGTGAAGAAGAAGAACCTGTAAAAATAAAGAAAGACTCGGTATCTTTGAAATTTCCTATCGATGAGTTAAAAGCAAGATTGAAGAAGCTCAAACAAGAAGAAACAGAAAAGGTAATCAAATATTGAATTTGATTAACATGTAAAATCAAGTAAATCTTGTGAAAACTCTCTCTCTATTGTGTATTTCACTTTTCTATTTTTATTCTAGAACGGAGAAGCACTTCGAAAAAATGAGAACCGTTTTAAGCGGTTTTACGAAACTTTAAAAGAAGAGCTCAATGCTCTCAAAGTCAACGTTACCAGCGATTCAGAATTATTAAAGAAGTTTTTCCAAAAATTTCAATTTTACAAAAATAGTATCACCACAGGGACATTATCCGTTGTAGAAACTGAGGAAGTTTTAGATATTTTGAACAACTTGGAATATCTTCTTCATCAAATCGATAATGCTAAAATATTCTCAGATATGGACGGGTAAGTATAATAATAGAGATGCAATGCACAATCTTGATGATAGAATTAGCTGCGACTAATGCTCATTATTTCTAACATAGGTTGATTCAGATTATATCGCCATGTCTCAATGGAACTAACAATGAAATAAAGTCGGAAGCTCTACGGCTTTTGGGGGCAGCCGCTCAATCGAATCCCAAAGTGCAAGCTAAAGCGTTGGAAAACGATTTTATTCAAAAAGTGTTGCACGTTTTATCCACAAACACTAAAACCGAAGTGAGATCGAGATGTCTCTTCGCCCTAAGTGCCTTAATACGTCAGTTCCCAGCCGCGCAAAAAGCTTGGATCGATCATGGCGGTTTGCAGTTACTTGGAAAGATTCTTTACGACGATCAGTTGCACATACAAATGAAAGCGATGAAACTAATTAATGATCTAACGATCGAGAGGCAAAATTTGCAAGAGATTAACGACGTCGACCAACGTCAGCAGAAAACAAGGGAATATGATATTACGGACTTTGAGCAGAAATTAGTGAGGCACGATTACTGCAAACTCCTGAGCAACTTGATGGTCAAGTGTTTCAGAGAAAAACTAGCTAACAAATTCAGTATAGAAAATAACGATTTTCTCGAAGTAATTTCAGATAGCATGATCACGGTAACTCCTATTTGTAGTGCCGACTTTAAAAACTATAAATCTTCTATTCTGCATGTTATAGACAGTCTGTTGTACTTTTATCAAAATCTAAATATTAAACTCACAGTGGATGAAACTGACGTTCTAAAGAGTCTGATATCACTGATCGAAAGATTAAAGATTACTATATTCGAAACTCCTCATGATGAATTGTGAACCCTTTAAGTTTGATATTTTAAGGCAATCGAAGAAAAATATCAAGAATTAAACTGAATTACAACCTTGCCGAGACAGACGCAAAAGTGCAATTGTGTACAATAATATCGTCTATATAATAGTGTAGAGGTTTCTAATGTGTATTTGTTTGTGGACTATAGCGGTAAGAAGTCGTGTAAGAGAAAAAAATATCGATCATAATAATGATAGTTTTGAAAGAAAAAAAAACATTTATCTGCGAATGAATGATTAGCTATACAAAGTTTGCAAAAAAAAATAAAAATAACAAAGCAAAGCATTCGTCTATAAATTACAAAATAATATTTTATTATTCTAGACTAGATGTGATATCGTATATTCCTATTGTAAATAGCTCTTGTACTTGTATCTCGATCAGTAGAAACATGAAAGTTTCTTGTCTCTTGCGCCTAAATTACAAGTGTTACACACCAATTTTAATTCAATGTTTAAAACAATAATGAATGTTTTCTCGTAACTTTTATTGTCTTAGATTATTATTGTTATTAATAATAACAATAATAATAACAATAATAATTTGTTATTAATATTATCTATTGAATATTTTTAATCGCTCAAAAACTGTGTTCTTTCAGAAGAGACAAGAACTGAAGATTGATTTAATCGTTTATAAAAGCTCAATCAATAGTCCGTATACATTTTCTGTGAAACAACTAAAAACATTTTATTTTAAGTAAAATGACTGAGCTATGTGTACATATATATATATAATATATTATATATATATATTTGTAAGATTTAGTTATATTTGCTATTAGCCATTAAGACTAGATAATGTACAACACTGTTATGTTTTTTCTCTGTGTTAAAAATAATTATTTAATAAATTATTTTGTACTCTCTTTTTTTCCTTTCTCTAATTGTATACATTCTATCTTATTGTCCAAAAGGTTTTTTGAATGGTATATATTTTAATATAAAAGAATTTATAATATGGATATCAGAGAATATAATACGTTTCTTTATTCACACAAATTATATAACGGATTGAGAATACATATGAGGTCACTTATGTAACCGTAATCTTATTTTCATAGAAAATATTTTTGTAACATGATATATATTAATATATTTTTAACATATTTGATAACATATTTTTTGTTAAAATTTCGTTTTTTTTTTAAACACAAGTTATTTATAGACAAAAAAAGAACTCTTGTATTATGTTTTCTGAATAGAGTATCTTGTTATTTTTCTTTTTAAGTACAAGGATTGCATGCATTATCCCAATCCGTGAAAAATATTAACGTCACACATGATATATAATTTAAAAAAAACACATTTTTAAATTAAATTTCATAAAAATCTTAAAGTTTAAATAAAGCACAACATTCAATCTAGAAAAGACAGATATAACAAATCAAACGAGAGAGAAAACTAATATAAACATAAATTGCGGCCGTTGACTGTAAAAATTAAAAAAAAAAAAAAAAAAAAAAAAAAAAAAAAAAAAAAAAAATACGTGTTTCATAATGATTGTTATAAATGTGCAAACAG